TGGGAGTATCTTATATTTACAAACACAAAGTTTCTTGCAGGTGTACGCATCGATGTAAGTGTTTGTCACAAATTCATATTATAAACAGCTTTAACAGACAAGCAAGAATTTTACAAACAATTCCTTTCTTTAACATAAATTTATATCACTTTTTATCCGAGACTATTCAAGTGAAGAGCACTGTATTTGACTAAGAAGAATGTTTTATTTGTTTGTTACTTCGCTATCAATATCGCCCTTTATGATTGAGTTAGCGCAAATAAAAAACATACGTATCTAATATTTTTAGTTATTATTGAAGTTTGCCTTTTATTAAAATTGTCTGCTCGTTCAAAACCTTCCTTTGTAAGCTATATGCATGTATAAGGTTCCATAAAAATCAGATAACGTTGCTATGAGCTACAAACGATTAAAAGTTGGAATCAATCGATAGATTTTCACATGTTTCGATACTTGTAACTTTCTATGCTTCAGCCGATAGTGTTGAAATTTTATATGTTACATATAACGTACTTAGCACTATAAAACATATGTTCTAGATTTTCATTAATGATCAAAATAAAGAACTTAAAAATTGTGTTTTTTACTGTTTTTTAGTGATTCTGGCTAATAGCAATGAAAATAATTTTTTTTTATACATTACATAGAAAACTATGTCTTAACAGTTGATTCGTTTAATATTAACTCTCGTTTGCCACATTGGATACATTATATCTATCCTTTAATTTCGAAGTCAAATAAATTTCACGTGTTGCTTATTTATGTCAGCAATATCTCTTAAAAGGTCGAGGTGTCACAATACCAATTTTTTGTGGAAATTGTAATTTTCTCTTTTGTTTGAACTAAAGATGTATAAATGAAAAGATTTCGTAGTAATAGGTAGTAGATATGTCAAGGCCAGACGAAGTAATATCATATTAAGAGGACAGTTCCGGTTAGTCACTCGCATTGTATGTAACCATTACTCGTGCCAATTTAATACTATCTACTTTAAAGTCTGCTACGGGTTATTTGCTTCTTATGTTATTAGATTGATGTACATGAAATTTGGACTTCTTTTGTCGCAATAAAAGGATCTTTATATAATCTTATAGATTTTTTTATAAAAATATGATTTGTGTTTCTTATTACGTTTATAGATAAACTCTTTTACCCAGATATATAGATAATATAGATATTATAGATAAACTCTTTTACCCAGAAATGGGCTCGGTTTTACATCGTTTCTCTCTTTCTCTCTTTCATCTCGTATACGTATTTCACGTTTCCACTCTATTTTCCTGTCTTCTTTTTATATCCTGCTATCAGATTTATACATATATATTGTTGTTAATTATACTTCCCCTAATTTTCTGAAGTACTCAAATTTGATTTATTAAGAAAAAATTTTGGTATATATGTATAAATTGTTGAAGTGAAACTTCAAATATGTTATGTGATAGTAATATAACGAGAACGGCAGCAGCGCCGCATTTAGGTACAGCTTAGCAATGAAAAGATGACTGTGTTAAGTTTCCGCGCATGTGGCTTATTTGTAATTAACAATATAATAAACATCTTTTCAAGCAGAAATGCGCTTCGTGGTGCTTTTATTCTAAAAACTCAACATAAATGATAATAGAATCTGCTATAAGAGATAGTTTCAATACTAAACAGGTCCGTTCCTCATTTTTTATTTGATTAATAATGTATATGCTAATTTTATTGTTAATCAGTTAAGTCAGCAGAAGACAAACTGTAATTTCCATTTAAATTACTTTATTATACACATGGTCATGTACTACAGATCCGATATGATGGACCTGATTATTTTCATCACTTCATGATTTGCACATATATACTTATGTTGCAGTTATATGTATACGCAAATAAATATTTACGAGTTGTTAAATTAGCATCAATCGCATGCAGTTGATTTTAAATGTAATAATCAATCTGTGTTACAAACAAATTGTAGATTGCGATATTATTAAACTAATTAAATCATGTACAAGGTGAGCCAGTAAGAAGTATCGTGTAATAAAACTTGTTTAATAATTTTATTAAAACATGACGTCGTTATATGCGTATGTATTTATAAATAGGTTGATAATTAAATCTGTATTTTAGCATTTTGCCAAATAATGGACTTGATTTTACAAATCAAGGTCCTCCGTTCTTTCCATACAAATGTGCTTTTTTCTGCCTAACGAACTTATATTTAATCATACTTGTTATTTATATTTGAGCTTCGGTTTGTTTGTTCCTTCCTCTATATATCTATACCTACATGTGTATACATATATTTATAATATACCATACATGTACTATACATTTATATTTATTTACTAGTTTTAATGTATTCTTGTATTTTCAAAAATTCAAGTTTGCTTCTTTCAGTGTCTATAATAAAATTAATGATTAGTGAATAATTTCAAATAATATTTCTTAATGATTCGCCTTGTATAATATACTGCAGATAGAACAAAAATTCTTATTGTGTAATCGATAGAATTTGTATAAGAAATTTGGCATATAGCGAATTTCAACTTGTGTTATTTGAAGATATTTTACGCAGTATTTCGTATTTTCTTATTGAACACCTAAGTTGATTTATTTAAGATAAACAGGGAATATAGACTGTTATATATGTTTTTCCATAAATAAATAATATAATATATTTTCCAAATATCTTAGTTACGTTCACTAACTGAACTAACAAAAAAAGTAATAAACGTACATGAAAAATAATTTATTTATTGTGAATAATCTGTATTATAATTTAGCTTTACTTCAATTGAACTAATAAGGAAAATGTAATAAAACAACATGCGAATGATTCATAATACATGTTTTTTTATACATATATCATCTAATAAATTAATGTCACTAATGAATTTATGTGTAGACTAATTTTAAAAATGTTATATTCTGTTTTGAAGGATTCTTTAAAGAGAGAAATTTCAGTTAGTGGTGTATGGTATTAGCTGGAGTGGGTGCACATGAAACGTTTTCTTCAAACGCAACAGATGTAGTTCCCATAGAATATTATTTATTTCGTTTAAATAATTTTTCAGTTACTTCTATATTTTACTAAATTATTAAATGATTTTATTATCCGGGATCATGATTATCTAAATTGTGAATTTTAAAATTTGTAAGCTCTTAGCATGATGTGTTTGAGTAAGTTTGACTGGTATTTAATTCGTTTTAATAGTTTTTATAATAAAAAAAATTCAAAATTTTAAATATAACTAGATCATATAGAACCAGCTCGATATAAGTTTTGATGAAATGTGAATCATTTCGAATCAAATTATGTCACGGTTTTTTATCCATAATTGTAGATATGAAGAAAATATGATACATGATTTTTGTCTTGGAAACAAGATTATAAAAACATTTCATTTGCATCAATCTTATGATATGTCTCTGTGTAAAATAGACCTAGATTGAGGGACAATTTTATCTATTATGCTATTATAGATAAATCTTTTTATCGAGATATGAATTGATTACGTTCTTTCAAATTATCTTTGAAAGTATTATTAATACGTGTATGTCATATGTTATAAATATTGTAAAATTATCCAGAGAACCACCTATTATCTATCTACATCATTTTGTGTACGTATATCGTTTTCATGAACTTGTAGCGATAGATTATTATCAGTACATGCTTGATATAAGAATAGTCTTTCACATTGTCTGAATTTTATTGATTGATCTGATATAAGTAAAGATAGAAATTAACATATATTTTCCGTTTTTCAGAAGATTTTGGTTGAACTTATGTTTGACTTTACGAATTATCTGTTCCCGTGAAATTTTTGTGGAATGTTATAGTTTAGAGCTCCTTTAAAAGCTGTTCTTGTGGAACTAATATTCTAGAATTTATGTAATAAGAGTACCATGAAAATAAATTACTTTTGCATGTGTATTTTTAAAAAATCTTGTTTGAACTTATGTTTCATTTGAGGAATTATCTGTTTTTATGGAACATGTAAAGAAATATTATAGTTTACAACTTTTTTAAAAGCTGTTCTTGTAGAATTAATATTCTAGAATTTATGTAATAAGAGTTCCATGTAAACAAGTTATTTTAGCACGTGTATTGAAAATGTGGAGAACAGAGATTTCATAAGATAATCAAAAGTAGTAAACAATTAGGTATTATTTTTACTTGTCGGTATTATATCATATTAATCATATGCCTACTTTATACTATGATTGTATTATTATTAATCGTATTATTAATCGTATTATTAATCGTATTATAAGTCGTATTATTAATAGTACTCAGGATTTGTTACAAGAGAACTCTTTTAAGTTCGTTTTGGCTACAAGTTGAAATAGTAATATATGCATATTTGAAATTTTGCAAATAAGCAGTTTTTTTCATATTAAGCTCGTTTGCAATTTGTAGGAAATTTTTATTAAAATATCTATCAAATGCCTGATAATCTATATTTTTTTTAGCAAATATTTATTTTTAAGATATTTGTTCATAATAATTAGCACAAGATTTCAAGAATTTTTTACTTTTTCTCATCATATATTCTTTAACTGAAATGAAGCAAGACTTCCATAAGAATACATGGTAATTGTAATATCTTTTAAACGAGCTAGCAAACCTGTTAGAAATTTTGTACGTATATTTGGACTAATACTTAGCATCAACTAATGGGATTTCATTGATGTAGAACTATTTTGATTTATGGCCATAACATCCTTAAATAAATAAACTAAAAGTTAGAAATAATTTCACTCTTATTTCTTTAATAGAAATCAATACAATTATTTCTTTGAATAATTTTTGAAAATTCAGGCAACCGGTTGGTCGCTTCAAAACTAATATTTTTTAGAAATATAAATAATTAAAAATATACGTGAAAATGAAGATTGGATTTATGAAAATTTCTTGTGTTTCAGTGTATTAGACGTTACTCTCTTTACACTTTCGTTTTTATAAAAGTATAGATTATAGATTTTCATATTATTGAATTACTTTCTGTTTATAGAGCTCAACAGAACAGTTAACTTGCAGTGCGGGGAATTTAGAGGAAATCCAAGATAATCCGGACGGGCTATCAAGACGGACGGTTTCTGAGAAGATCATGAGTATCTGCAAAAATACCATACGCTGGGTGCTTGTTCTGGATGCATTTCTCGCAGTATCAGGTAAAAATCTGCTTTCCTTACACATATTACCATTTCACTTTTGCATTGAGAATAAATGCTCTTCTTTTGTGTTTTAAGTCTTCATTCATTTAATAATTTAAAAATCTCTCGCTTGATTAAATCTTATAATTTATAAACAATATTGTATTGTATTTAATGTATTACAATTTTGTATAATACATTAATTTATGAAAATATATGTACAGCAGAAACTCGATTATTTGAGCTAATTGCAATCGGAATGGCCAGAAAATCGAATTTTTTTAATACTTGAACGATACATTATAACTGCATGCCACATGAAGAATTATAATTTATTACATATTACACGCATTAATTGCATTTGTTTTAATCATTTTCGTTCGCCTAATCTTTCGGTGTTAAAATATTTTCTCTAATTTATTTAAATGTATCGACATCTTCTATTTATATAATTCTAACTCGCACGACAATTCTAACTGAAGTACGCACGTAATATGAATCTATTACAAACTAGCGTGAAATAAAATTTCTACTCGAAATTCTGTGCGGTATGATTTCAAAATCAATGATAAATTTAATGTGAATAGAGTTATATTGCACGGAATCTTGAATTGGAATTTCATTGCACACTATTTTAGATTAGATTCATAATATTTAGATTAGATTATTAAAATTCATATTATTTTTATCAAATCGATCGTACAAACAGATGTCGCAAAATATTTCTAATAGAAATGAAACAATTGTATGAGGAAAGAATAATTTGCTGGAGATGGATAAATAGAAAAATACGTGAAAGGTTCTGATTTTTTAAATGTATAAAACAATGTAGATTCCTCTAAAGAAAATTGTATTTTATATATTGCATTCTGTTTGGATAAGCTAATTTTTTTCCTACAGTCAAACGAAGATATAATACTATTCTCATGCGAAACATGCAGTATAGCTAAAATTGGATTTCTTAATCCTTTCATGTTAGTACAAGTAAAAATTTCCAGGGAAGTTCAACCATGAGCATTTTAATTAATTTATGTCTTTGAATAGAATGCACTGGATAAATGAAATGTGTTTATTAGAGATATTTGAATTACCGTCCACGCACAGCGAGAGCCGGGTGGAAAACCGCGAACCGTGTAATACAATACTTCATGAGTTGGCCGTCTGCTTAGAATTTTTCCGGGCGTGTCGCATTAAATAGGTAACTCGGTACGCACGCATGCGGTGAAACGTCAATGAACTGTGTTGTAATAATGTAAAGTATGTTGTGTAATTATAAAGAAAGAATTACATATAACAGAATATTCACGTTGTTTCTTCCATATGAAGTATTAAAATAATTATAGCAGGAAAAAAAGGAAATAGAATGCGTCATGTATCTGTGACCATTGATAGAAAGAAAATAGCGTTATTTGTATCAGGATTACCATACAAGTCTGCTTTATTTTACGAGAGGGGCAGGAGGGACGTGTGATTGAAGGGAGACTTTAAATAAGAGTAGTAGAAAGAAAGATATAGTTTTAACTTATTGACACTAATGCTATATTGTGAGTCTTCAAGAAAATATTTAAGATAGGATGAGTCGGTGTAATAACATTATCACAGCTAAATTTGAAGTAACAGATAGTAAACTAAGTAGGGGAAAAATTATATAAGCGAGTGATTAATTATATTTAGTACATTCAAACGAAAGAATTACATATAACATCGAATATGCACATTGTTTCTTTCTTATGAAATATTAGAATAATTACAATATGAGAGGCAGACATCATTTTAGTTTATTGATACTCAAGTTATATTTAAGATAGAATGAGATTGTTAAAGAAACGATAGACAAGTAAAGAGAGGAGAAAATCTATATAAGAATATGATTAATTATATTTATTACGCTCTATAACGAAAGAATTACATATAACATACTTTCAATGTTTGAATGTTTTCTAAGGAAAAAAATTACATATAACATTGTTTTTTCCACTATGAAGTATTAGAATAATTTTAATAGGGAAGAAAGACATAATTTTAATTTATGGACATTCAAGCTACATTCTGAATCTTCAAGAACATTTTTAAGATAGGATGAGTTGGTGTAATATGTCACAATTTTTGTTTACCATAGATAAAGAGGCAAAAAAATTATATAAGAGTGTTATTACATTTATTATCCAACAGCTAAAGATGTACAAATAGTATATTCGCATTTCTCTTTGAAATTATCAGAAAGGTTCTTTAATCTTGTTTGATAGTTGTCTATATTTTTCGTAAGAATACCAAATTCTATAAATAAATTTTTCAAGTGCGAAAGGTGTTCGTTCTTTTTGAAAAATGTGCAATTTCTTATATATTATATTATATATTTTTAGATATATTTTATGTCAATTCGGCAATATTTTCATCTTTCCTCTTAAAGTGATTATTTAAAATATTTTAGGTGTCCCATTGTATCAGTGAAAACATGTTATCTTACATCTATTTGTGACTTCGTAATTGCATATACTTCTGACCCTTCAGACTGAGAGATTATGCAATAGATGTGTACAGTTCAATAAATCTGGTTAGGACATTATACAGTATGTGTGTATAGCCACTTTATAATACAGTACAAGGATAAATTATATAGCTGTTCCTTCAGATCGAGTTTTTCAATAAAACAGATTTGTTATTTTTGGCATTTGTGTGAATATAAATTACAATTTTTATGATATGAAAAAAATGACCAAAAGCAAAATATTTTGCAATGAGATGATCTCTACGAATCGTACAATGCATAGGAAGAAAATCTGAAATTATTTAATCCTTTTT